TATATATATATATATATATATATATATAGGTGTGTATTATTATAATAAGTAATAACATCTATTAATATTTCATGATAATATTCATATTCAATATTTCATATACATAAAGATACATTTTAGTTTTTTTTTTATCACTACAATTAACAACAATTAATCATTAACTAATTTACATATATACATACTTTGATAAAAATTTATACATTTATGTATTATAAAAATGATATCAATTTAATGTAAAACAGAACTCATTCAACCGTAAATTTGATTAAAATATCTATGCATAATATAATCGAAAAGAATACAATTTATTGATAATTATAGCAGATCAAAAAATATATATTTAAAAAAAAGAAGGAATAATTATTGATCCGTATTCTAATGAATTCTAAACGATTTATCAATTATACACCATTTTAAAAAATATACGCGTGTATGTTTGTGTGCGTGCTTGCGTGTACGGGAAAAAAAAAAGAAATCGTATATCAAATTTCTATCACAGAACAAAAAAAATATTAATTTCTAAAACATTCCTTCTAAAAACAATGAACTAAACGTAAAATTCTAATTAATTTTCAATCAATCAAACGATCATTAATAATTTATTATAAAACATTTCATATACACATGTGAAAAAACTATAGAAAAATTCTAATAACATTATATAATCACAATCATATCTAAATTATAATATGAACTTATAAAAAATCATCTTCACAAATCCAAAATTAATACAATAATATGAAATAATTAAAATAACCTTCGTTGTGAACATTTCAATTTACCATTGACAATGATTATCACAAAACATATGGAAATGCAAATAATGATGAAATAATGACTGATCTGATAAATATAATACGTGCGTATGTACGTGCAAACGCGTATGGGGTGGGAAAAATAAAGATAGAAAGAAAGAAAAAAACACGGAGAGTAAAACAGAGAGAGAGAGAGAGAGAAAAATAGATAGAAAGAGTTATTATCGATCGTTTGAAATATATTCAGGGACGCGTGGTTCATTCATTCGATACAATGGAATGTCGGCTACGCACGCTGAACTAGCAAACCGTATTTTCTCTCTCTCTCTCTCTCTCATTCTCTCTTTTACTATCTTTTTCTCTCTCTCTCTTTTGTAGCTCTTGCTTTTATGCGACCTTGCAACGTGCGCACGATTTTATTGCGAGCAAATGTCCGATCGAAAAATACGCGGAAGTTTCTCTCTCTCTCTCTCTCTCTCTCTTTTTCTCTTTTTCTCTCTCGTTCTCGTTTTCTATCGTACACTGGGTATTATCGTATCACCGATGTAATATCTCCCCTCTTGTTTTTCTTCAAAAGATCGATTTCACTTTCGTTCCTACCCACTGCCCGATATATTCACCACCCCGCGTAACCCCACCCCCTCTCCTCGCCACTAATATAACCCACCCGAATGAAAATAACTTTTAAGTGCGTGAATGGAATTTATTTTTTTTCTTTTTCTTTTTCTTTTTTTTTTTTTCTATCGCGCGTGCGTTAACTTACAAATTGATTCTTCCATTTTATTTCCTTCCTTCCTTCCTTTTTTTTTGTTGCAATCGCATTTTCTTTTCTTTTTATTCTTTTATCATAACTAATGTTAATTTATCATAATTCGTTGATCAAATTATAAGAATTTGTAAGATTTTGTTCTTTGGTGAAGGGGTGAGAAAGAAGGGGTGTGGGTGGAGGATTTTAAATTTAATTGTTTAGATGAAAAAACATAAAATCGAATAGAAATTTATTCGTTTGATTGATTCTCGATATTATTTATATATCTTACAATGATTTTCATTCGTATATTAAATAGAATATATATAAAGAAAATATATATATATATATATAATAACTTTGCAAAAATTATCCTAATTTTTATTTCTAGTTAGTTTAACTTTG